GTAGGTATTTAACGTTAGTCATATTAAACTGTCCCTCTAAAAGATTACAAATTCTAATCTAATAAAAATTCTTCTAAATGATTCACTATTTGTCATATAAATGTTAAAAAGTATGCCAGCCATTTATTAATGCTAATTATAATAATTTTAATTATAAAAAAATAGCATTTTTATTTCTGAATTGTGTTATATGTTAGCTGGTGGGTTTTTGGTGTGGTGTGCCGCTCTGTGCCAGAAAGTCCATGGCCACTTTTTAGCCCCAGTCCGCCCCTGGGCCTGGTCCATATTAAAAGAACAGAACATAGCAATTTGACATTAAAATAATAGTTGTACTAATAGGACGTAGGGGGAGCGCGGGGTAAGTTGTAACACACGTGGTTTAAATATTTCCACACATGCTAGGATAACCAAATTTACAGCATTTACTAGTTACTATATCAACATTATATAGAGGGGAAAAATGCGCCAAAATTCAAAAGTCTTTTGAAGATATCGCTGAATATTTATTTTATCATAGTAAAATTATATTTCTGGCTTAAGTAAATTTTTCATCTCAGTTTTTATTACTCATTTAAAATGAGACAAATCTGCTATTATTTTAATCTCAAATCTGTTATTTATCAGTTTAGATTATTTTTTTTAATGCTTCGCTAACTATCAGAAAACAGTAACCAGTTTTAAATTCCAGTTGCGCAGATGGGGCACCATGTAACACTGCGTTACAATGTGCTATTCTATGACATTAGCGATGTAATTCACACTATTTACTTTAATACATTTTAATGATAAACGACGAGAAGCAGGTGAATAAAGACTGACAGTCAATGTTTAATGTTAAGAAATTATTATTTCAAGACATGTAAAGCATTTTTGCTCGTTTATGTGGGTCGTCCCAAGCATGATTGAAGTGTTCATTGTCAACCTCCAAAATCAGATTATTTTTAATTCTTAAAAAACGCCATTATTTTATTTGAAATAAATAATTATTTTATTTTATTGACAAAATATTTTAGTTTGTCTTGTATATTTTTTTCATTCGATCAGATAACATTTTAAGCTGTTATATGGTCATGTTACAACGTGCCCCTCAGATGCTACAATGTACCCCACCACCTATGGGGCATGTTGTCACATTTCACTTCCAATTTTTGAGAGTACATAAAGAAAAACGTATACTAATTTGAGAAAGTCAAAAAGTGTTACTTTGTGCCCCGCTCTCCCCTAATGCTACTTGTGCATCAGTCAAGGTAAGCAGAAAAAGATGCACCGGACCGGATCTTTGAATAATAGTAAATGTAACGGTCATAGCGATCGAGATAGGAACGCAATGTATCCGTAAGACACAGACAGTACATTGTGTGGCAGCGGTTGTATCGTTTCATCGTATCGTGTTTGTATGAGAGAGAGCAAGCACAAATCTCGGATTGCACCAGCCAGTCGTTGTATGGGCCGACCACCGAGTGGGTTCAGAAGCATACAGTATGTGCATATTTGCGCTCAGACTGATTTCTGTCTTTTCACAGACAAGTAATCCTCCTCGCTGTCACTTCAATGACACAGGGAAATAATTAATTTATACCATTAATTCATAAATGTTTCTCTTTTTTATCACGCAGACTGCACGTCTCCCCTCTCATGCTCTTGCGCCACCACACTTTGAAAACCCCTTCTTTATTCCACTTCGTTTTTGGTCTGGTTTGACCAGCTAACAGTGTAATTGTGACCCATACGTGAACAGGACCAGAGGGTAAAATTTAATTTGAGATGTTTTTTTCAATATACGCACCACACTTTGAAAACCCCTGCTTTATTCCACTTCGTTTTTGGTCTGGTTTGACCAGCTAACAGTGTAATTGTGACCCATACGTGAACAGGACCAGAGGGTAAAATGTTTTTTCAGTATACGAGTTTATGTTTGTAGAATATATTATTATTTGAATATGCGTGTGAGTGTGTGTTTTGTATGGATAGTTTGAAAAAGCTAAAAGGTACCTTTCTTCGTGTCCTGCCAAAAAGAAAGAATAGTCGTTTGATTCTTTTTTTGAGTCGCCATTGCCTTGATCTGTCGTCCACTCTGTGCTACACTGACCCTGTATTCTGACCGTTTTTTTTAAATTGTTGTCACACTCAAGGGCTGTAAAATAGTTTCGGATTAAGTCACGTGGTGAATGAGCGAGTGAGTGAGTGAGTGGAGAGAGATGTCAGTCAAAATCGCTTACTGTAAACAGCGACAGTGGCCAACTAAAACATTTACTTAATTTCTCATTTTCTCACATTTCCTCTGAACTCCTTGGCAAAATTCCTGGGACTTAAGGACAAAACGTTCGGGGCTAGATTAAAATCATTCGGGGCTCGAGCGTTACAGCAAAAAGTAATATAGTCCATTACTGTAATATTAATACTTTTGTAATGCGTTACTCACAACTTATTATTATTATTATTATTTTTTTTTTTTAACACTGTTTATAACATCCATGCAAACTCAACAGACACACCCGAAAGCGGATGTTCTGGCATTCTGGGCAGCACTGAGGGGGTGGCTGTGCCACTGCAGAGGACGCGCACCGTTAAACCAGGCTTTAATGCATGTTTGGCAACGCGCGCTCAGCACCGATGATCTACTATAAGGCTTACTATGGAAAATGAAGACGCACGATTGGCTGCCGTTGCTGTTAATCGTTCTCAAAGTTTAGAAACAGACAAACAGCTGATGAAGGTGATTAGCTGAATCTTTTACCAGAGACTGGAATTTGTTTTGGAGTCTGACAAGCAACAACGCGCAAAAGACAGAAACATCGAGCGTTTCAAATACTTCTAAACTCTCTTCTTAGTGCACAAGACTGCACGTAAGTTTTAATACCTCCTCGATTAGTTATTTGGTAAAACAGCAGGAATGTGAAGCGAATTAGAGTAGGCTTGTTTTTTATTCCGGAGCTTTGATTAGATAACTGTTGAAGATCACGCAGATAACACTGAAAAGCGTTACTGCAAACGAATATAGGCCTAATACATTTCTGAATGTTTTCCTCCTCCATGTTCTCTGATTCATTTTAGGCTGTTTGTTTGTGATTATGCGAAATCGAAAGGTTTTTTTTATTTTTTTTTATCAGATCGTTATATTTAGACAGATGATGTAGCCTACCCCATTAAATAATGAATGTGCTCTCATGTTATTTAACGTTAGTGTTTTTTTTTGTCAAAGAAGCATGTAACAAAAATCAGCTGTGACTAAGTAGAATATTTTGGTTCACATAGTAGCCTAATTCATTATATATTCTATATAACCATAATAATTCACAGTTGGAAGGCTAGAAGTAGGCTATTTTACAATAATAAAATAGATTGTGAACTTTAAGTAATGATCAAATGACAAAAGGACTGTAATACATCCAGGAAATTAAAGGTTTAGCAATGTGCGTAAATAATGTAAACTGCAATAGAGAAAGTAATAAATATGCATTGAGTCTTTACAGTATTTATTCTTTGCATTGCATTATATCTAGTGCCATGTGTTGTGTGAAGATGAAAGCCAGTTAATTAATCTAACAGAATGTATTTATTTATAATAGATTAATGAAATAGATTGTGGACATTAATGTAATTCAACAAATTAATGAAAAGAGTAAATATGTTGTAAATGATAAGAAAACTGCAATACTGAAAATATGTTTTGAACACAGTGCTGTCATGTTTGTTCCCAGCTGTATTCATATTTTTATGTTGTGAGGAGATGGAGGCATGTTTGTTAATCTGTTGAAATCACAATATTTGTTCTATTAAGGTTGTTTCTATTAAGGTTGTTGCTAAAAGAAAAGCCTGTTTGTTGCTAACTCAACATTATCAATTTTTCATCATCAACTATCATGTTATTCATCTCAGTAAGATATCATCATCTCCAGGTCATGCTGAGAAGCTGATTGTCTTCACTGACACCAGTGCTGATGTTAGCATTGCCAGTTCAGCTGCAGTATGTCAGAGAAGCGAGAAAAGGACTCTCCGTCTGAGATGAGTCTCTCAGAGAAACAGAGGTAAGACTGAGTCTGTTTTCAGAGAATCATTTTAAACACGACTGAAGTTGAATTAATTAATAGATTTTTTGTAACAACCTTTTTAACAGTAACGATTTTCTCACTTATTGTCTGCTGCGCTAAAGTTCAATTTAGAACTTCCTATAATTTTTTGTTTGTTTGTTTTTAAATAATTGCAGGTTAAAAATAGCTTAAAACTTATAAAGCTATTTGCATCATCAATAGCAACAGAGTATAACAGACCGATCCAGGTATTTCAAGCCAGCACTTCTTTCATGTCTCTCGTATTGTATTTCAAGCTGACGCTTTTTTGTGTCTCTCCTATTACAGCAAGAACTCGCTCTCTCATTTCACATCTTGTCTCTCGTGACATCTTGCATCTCAGTTGTATTGAAAATGAAACAACCGGCTGAATGTCCATCAGTGTGCACATTTAGTGCATAGTAAACTTAAATAATGTGGAGTTTTATCACTTAGAATATAGAAATATGCCTGGCAAACAGGGCTTGACAATGGCACATGCAAAGTGCTTCCATCATGACTGTAGATGTTTTGGGACTATAAATAAATAATTTTAAAAACACACTTGACAGAGTGATGTAACAACAGTAATTACAAAAAATGACAGTTGGAAAACAGCCTCAGACGTCAGGCCCACGGACTGTTGGCTGAACGTCTAATAGATATGTTTGATGGTGAAATGGATATTGTGCAGGGTGAGGAACCAGTGCTTCACTTGACTGTTTACCAGTTTAGATTCCATTGTAGCTGACCTGATCCGTTTTTGGGATGAAATCTCAGACCAAGACATAATTTGAATTAAACTAAACTCTTCAACTGAGACAGAGGAATCTCCTGTAATAAAGTGTTTTTTCTCTCTGTTCTTTGTGTCATTAGTGTAAGATCAGGCTCATGTGTGTCCAGCTCTGTGTCTGTGAAGAGTGACTGGTCAAAAGATGTACCACCGGAATTCAGTGAGGCAACATCTACTAAAAGGTATTTTACATTAGAGCATTGCATTAGCTAATTTCTTCACTGTGGTAAATGTGATGGAACTTGACGGAATAAAACAATAGATCGAGTATTTTTCTTTTTTTCTGTTCTTCGTGTCATCAGTGTAAGATTAGACTCACATGTGTTCAGCTCTGTGTCTTTGTACAGTGACTGTTCGTTTTACATTGCATTGCTTTGTTAGCTAATTTCTCCACTAAGGTATATGTGATAACTTGACTGGATAAAACAGGAAATCACAGAATGAGTTGGTTTACTCTTTAGTGAGCTCAGTCTTTTCAACAATACAATTACACAGGAAGCCACCAGGGGGCATACATTCACCACGGAAAGACAGAACAGGCACCCAAACATAAATACAACTATCTATAGTAGTGAGAAATGGAAATCTACAGCTATACTGAATTTTATTTAATTCAATCTCTCCAAATGAGGCTGAAGTATTTTTTTTTCTGTGGTTTGTTAGTGAAAGATCAGGTTCACATTTTTCCAGCTCTGTGTCTGTGAAGAGTGACCGGTCACTTGATTATCCACCAAACTTAAGTGAGGAAACATCATCATCTACCAAAAGGTATTTCATGTGTTTTACATTATATTGCTCTGTTAGCTAATTTCTCAATTGTTGTTTATGTGATGCAAGCTTCTTTCCAATAATATACTTACACAGGCAGCCACTAGAGGGCTCGTGAGCATTTTCTCTGTCAGAATGAACAGTAGTTAGTTTTTATTTGTTGTACTGGATTAGTAGCTTCAATAGTGAAGAACTGCATGTACTAGAAGATATTTCATGTGTTTCTCCAAAAACATCGACAAAAATAGGTTGACAATTCAAAATCAAAATCTGGAATTCAAAATCAAATTCAAGTCTGGAAATAAACAATGTGCTGAAACATTTAAAACAAATATTTTAATAAAAGAGAAAATCAAAACACAAGCACGTTCACAAATGGATTTAAAGTGTACATTTAACAATACATTAAATGTAGACTTTGAATCGTGATTTTAAAGTTGAGAATCAATATCAATTCATTAACAATATGTTCAAATCTAATCTAATGTTTATTAAAAGACATGCTTGAGATGTATTGTGTTTTATTGATATTCTGTTGTTACTGCATTGGAAACATGGTTTTACCATATTCTGCTGATTAGGGTTGGCTCAATACCAAAATTCTGGCTTCATTATGATCCCAGAATCGAATACCTCGTTATCAATATGAAATTGATAGCTTAGGTGACAAATAAGTGGATAACTGAATTATTGAGCACGGCATGAATTTCTGCAGGAACAAATGTGTTGCTTGTGTTCAAGCATAAATATATAAACAACATAAACAGCACTTCTCAGTGCTGTGCACTCATAAAATGCGATACAATTAAAATTAATTTTTTATTATTATTGAACTATTATTCAATTGCTCACTGAAATATACAAGAAGTGCAGTCTTACTATAAGAAGTAACACATTACATAGAACAAGTGGCAGATCTATTAGTTTGCATTTACATTCCAAGATGCACAGATCTATACAATATCAGGTTTTTGTTCTGTCCATTGCTGTGATTATCACTGTCAATCATTGCAGTTTTGGATTCAATCCCATATTTAAATAAGTTTGTCAATTCAGAAACCTTGAAATGTGCAGTTAGCAGCATGACACATTTATATTATATATAAAAGCAAGCAAAGTGCGCTCCCATTATAATCAATAAAGCTCAGCGCTGCAACTTTACTGACGGAGTGAAAACTCCCATTATAATCAATGAAGCCGACAACACTGCACAATGAATCTCTTAATCTGATTATTTATTTTATTTTTTTTTTGTAATGAAAGGATTTGTGAACGTGCTAAACTCTATGAACTAAAAAAAAAAAAAAACGTTTTCAGCAGTGTTTTTGGTTTGCATCTCTGTGTAAAATTTACCAAAATAATAAATAAATACATTTTATAATTTTAATGATTTCCACTTTAGTAAAATTATAATACTTCATTATTAATTTAATTATTTCTAAGTGTCAAACCCATACGCTTTTTTGGGGGGGGACTACTGGGAGACATTTACATTTCTGTGTTTAGTTGACAACAGGTTTATAAATACTTACAAAATGATTTAATGATACATTATATCATGATAAATTATTGCAAATGTAGTAAAAATATCTGTCCATAATGTTGGAAATTATTTGAATGTGAAAAATTGCACCTTGTGCTTCTTGTGTTCTCAAATGCACATTAAACTCACAAAATATGCAGAGCTGGAGTTTGTGAGAAACCATATTTTATTGTGGACCAAGCTGCTCTGAGACACTGACGCAAATAAGCTGTGCACATGTAAATTAACACATTGCTGTGGTTCACTCTATAACATACAGTGCATCAGACTGTATATTTATTCAATTAGAATTAGATCATAGTCTTTTGCTATTTGATAATTGCACTAAGCCATACAGTGATTACAATTTTATTTGAATTACTCATGGAGCCTTAGTCAGTACCACAATGCTTTGCCATGAGCTAAAGAAAAAATAGTTACCCAGATTCTATACTTAAATAATGCTTTCAGCTTGTACACCAAATGCTCCTTTTTTCTTTGTTAAAAAGATGCATGGAGATATCTCTAATATTTTGCCTGTAAATTCAGCATTTAATTTCTTAACAGGGTTCAATATGAGACATTAGATTCAGACTTTCAGACTCACAGGAACCAAAAGAATTTCAAAGACAATCTCATGTGGATCTTCAAGGTAGGAAAAACACATTTTCATAAATGTTTAATTATATCCAATATATATATATATATATATATATATACACTGAACAAAATTATAAACGCAACACTTTTTGTTTTTGCCCCCATTTTTCATGAGCTGAACTCATGAACTCAAAACTTTTTCTATGTACACAAAAGGCCTATTTCTCTCAAATATTGTTCACAAATCTGTCTAAATCTGTGTTAGTGAGCACTTCTCCTTTGCCGAGATAATCCATCCACCTCACAGGTGTAGCATATCAAGATGCTGATTAGACAGCATGATTATAACAATATTTGAGAGAAATAGGCCTTTTGTGTACATAGAAAAAGTCTTTGTGAATCGCCGTGAAGAGGTTGTTTTTTTTGTATACTTGTCACACTTAAAAGATTCAGATCATCAAACAAATTTTAATATTAAGCAAAGATAATGCAAGTAAATACAAAATGCAGGTTTTAAATGATGATTTCATTTATTAAGGGAAAAAAACTGTCCAAGCCTACTTGGCCCTACGTGAAAAATGAATTGCCCACTCCTGTTAAATCATGAAAGAACTGTGATTAACCACATTATTTTAGAAAGCTGAGTTAAATTTATCTAGCCACACCCAGGCCTGATTACTGCCAGACCTGTTGAATCAAGAAATCATTTAAATAGAACCTGTCTGACAAAGTGAAGCATGCTTAAAGAGCAACACATCATGCCACTATCTAAATAAATTCAAGAGCAGATGAGAAACAAAATAGTTGACATGTATCAGTCTGGAAAGGGTTATAAAGCCATTTCTAAGGCTTTGGGACTCCAGTGAACTACGGTCAGAGCCGTTATCCACAAATGGAGAAAACTTGGAACAGTGGCGAACCTTCCCAGGAGTGGCCGGCCTACCAAAATTACTCCAAGAGCGCAACGACGACTCATCCAGGAGGTCATAAAAGAACCCAGAACAACATCTAAAGAACTGCAGGCCTCACTTGCCTCAATTAAGGTCAGTGTTCATGATTCAACAATAATAAAGAGACTGGGCAAAAACGGCATCCATGGAAGAGTTCCAAGGCAAAAAACAATTGCTGACCAAAAAGTACACAAAAGCTTTTGCCAAAAAATATCTTAATTATCCCCAATACTTTTGGGCAAATTATTCTGTGGACTGATGCGACAAAAGTTGAACTTTTTGGAAGGTGTGTGTCCTGTTACATCTGGCGTAAAACCAACACAGCATTTCATAAAAAAAACATCATACCAACAGTCAAACATGGTGGTGGTAGTATGATGGTCTGGGGCTGCTTTGCAGCTTCAGGACCTGGACGACTTGCCATAATTGATGGAACCATGAATTCTGCACCTATCGGAAAGTTTTCTGAATCAGAATCAGAATGAGCTTTATTGCCAGCTATGTTTACACATACGAGGAATTTGGGAATTTGTTAGAAGCTCCACACTGCAACAGAATGGCAGTGAACAGACAGGATGCAGATAATAAAAAGAATAATATACAAATATACAAAATAGACAATATACAAAATAACAAAAGCACAATATATAATATAGATAATTATGTATGTACAGGTATGATATGTGCAAATTTGAAATGTAATAAGTATGTGTGTTAAATAAATAATGTATAATAGTGTTGTGTGTTCCACGTTTATTGTTAAATGTTCATGAGATGGATTGCCTGAGGGAAGAAACTGTTCCTGTGTCTCTCAATGAGATTGTCCCACTTCAGGTCCTGAGAGATTGTGGTGCCCAGGAGCGTGTTAAGCTCCAGGTTGTTAAGACTGCACCAGACAGCCAG